CCTTTTTAATAGGAGATGTAATGGTGTACTGTGAAAAGTAAACGCTTAATATAGCAGAAATGACTTATTGCAGGTGTTTTGCTTATCTGTCCACCAGTCTCTGACATGGACCACATCAATATCAACTTTGTGACATTTTTCCTCTCCTTTTTGCAAAATGTTTGTGGCTTTCCTTGCATACATTTTCTCTTTCATATGCCCCCACACCTTTTTAATGGGGTTCAAATTAGACCTTCGACTAAGCCAGTCCATGGCCTTCTATTTCTTAGTTTTAAAACATTCCTTGGTGGATTCCTATGGTATTGGTATTGCTAGTATGCTTTGGATATTGGTGAAAGATCAATTTCCGGTTCAACTTCCACATTCGGACCGATGGCTTCACATTCTTATCAAGCACACTTTGATAAGATGCAGTATTCATAGTTGACTTGATAGGGTTAATTTTTCTAAAGGCAATGTGGTGAAATTGCCCTTTGCCAAGAATACCCAATTACATGCAGGGCAACAAAAAAGAAAACGGTATTTTTGCCTGCATACAATTGGATATTGTTAGTCAGCAGAACTTCACCTCATTTATTAAGACAAAGGCAAACTTCCCATGAAATGTGCAAATTCCCTTGCAAAATGAACAGCCCATTTGCATTTAGTAGATCAACCCCTATGACTGCAAGCTGCCCAGGCCATTAGGCAGAAAATCAACCCCAAACCATAGCATTTGGACCATCATCCTTTACAGTTGGTACGAGGTTCTTCTACTGAAATACTTTCATGGTTTTGCTTTGGTATGGCAAACTGCAGTTTTGCTCTAATGTTCATTTTGGACAACAAAGGGCTTTTTCCTGGCACACCTCCCAATCTTTTTCATTTTGTAGATGCATGCCCTTTGACCTGCAGATCCCTTGATAACATTTTTAGCATGAAGCAGTCAGCTCTTGGGCCGAATTTGCTGCACTGGCCAGTCATTTACAAATTAACAGTCATTTAAAATCTATGCAACATGTGGAATATTTACCTAACAGTGGAATTACTTATTTCTAATAATTTGGCTTTTTAAAACCCTTGACAGACTCATAGGCATCCACATTCTTCTTTCTTAGGGCCATATAAACTTTGATCTTGGAAAGGTGACACCACACACATCAATAGCAAAGAGAATGCCAGACCCTTTATAACTGAGGTTTATATATGAGCGTTTCCATCTGCATGCTCCCAAGGGAGTTTCTAATCACCAGCACCTACCCTGGAACATCTGATTTTAATCTCATGGAAATGTAGGGGTGTATTTACATTTTCCACATTACTAATCTACATTTTCATACTGTAAATTAGGAGAATGAATACACCCTGTCAATTTTACGAGTCTTATCACCTTTATCTGTAGGCACTGTTTTAATGAAGATCTAATGGGTTATTCACAAAGCTGCCGAAGGCAGCCGAGTAAATAACCCATCCGAAGTGAAGTGAGCCGAATCTAGTGACAGCTAACTCCGCCCAACTGTTTCCTATTGGCCAGGAACTGCTAGAGTCTTCTAGCAGGTCCCGGCCAATGAATAACAATGGGGCGGAGCTGGCCATGACATCACAGCTGGCTCCGCCCAGTTGTCCTTGTTTAATGACAGCTCAGCATCCCCAGGTAACCTGGGGCCGCTGATCTGTCATTGCAACTGGGCGGAGCCAGCTGTGTAGTTAGTCCCATGTAATCCGAGGCTAACAATAAGTTCTTATACCTGCACCGCAGATTTTAATCTTTTAAGTAAACACAATTTTTCAATCCCCTCCGATACATCAACCATTTTATTTGTATTTTTCCTTAAGTAATAAAAATGATGTATTACCACAGGCTATAATTTGCTTTATGCATTACCCCTTCAACTTCTCTCAAATAAAAATAAATCTTTCCCCCTCTCCTTTCTTACACACTGTGCTTTAGCCTTTTATACCTCCCTCCATATACTTATATGGGCAATTTAATTTTCTTTTAATGTTCTTTTAACAAACTAATTAATCATCAATTTTAGAACCTTTTGACCGTTCATCCATGACACCCATTTGTACTCAGCGGGGCACACAGCTACAAATACGAGATTACAATCTCATTCCCTGACACCATGCACAACAGCAATGTTGCCGCTAAGCTCCGCCCAGCTGTCACTTTTAAACCGGCAGATTCCCGCCACTTGTAACACCGGTAGAGCTTGATAAAGAGGTTACCCTCGAAACGCCCCCGAGTCTTCCCTTCACTCATGACTTTTCCACCAGGCTGTTCTCTACAGCCCTTTTACTAGTTCTTTCTCATTCACTACTGTCAGAAGCTATACACATCGCAGCAATCAGACCTCTAGGGACAGGACCGCACTCTGATCCAAACACTGTCTTGTCAGCTGCAAAGACAGGTGTTTGGTCAGCTTAAGCACCACTCAGGTAGACCGAGCATTCTGCCTACACACCGCCTGTCAGCGAAACTCCCGCTCTGCGCATGCGCAGCGGAGAACAAACACGCGCAGGCGCAGCCGGGAACAAACACGCGCAGGCGCAGCTAAGAACAAACACGCGCAGGCGCAGCTGAGAACAAACACGCGCAGGCGCAGCTGAGAGCAAATACGCGCCAAGAGGCGCACAGGAAGTTACATCATAGATGGATTCACTGCCCTATTTAAGCCCAGCTCAAACGCCCACTAGTTGCTGGTTTGTCTTGTCAGCTTGATCGTGTTCCTTGTCTCCCGTTTAGCCTTCTCCTGTATATACCTGATTCCCCTGGATTTGACCTGTTCCTGTGTAAACGACCATCCTTGCTTGCTGCCTGCCTTTTGACCTCGGACTGTTTTGGATATTCTTCGGCCTGCTCCCTACTTGTACTGAATTGGATTTCATGGCTTTTGACCCCGGCTTGTTGTGACCTCGATTACTGGACTTTCCTAAAGGACTCGTGCCTCTCCCTGTCTGCCTGGCCTTTGTCCTCAACCTCAAAGGTCACAAGACACGAGGTGCAAGAGACGCCTCCTCTCACTTCGGCCTCCCTACCAGGTACGTGATACCGCCCCTACTCCAGTCCACATGGGAGTGACACGGACATAGTCACTGCACTGCCTCGCCTCTCCCTTCGGTCATCACCTCCTCCTCATTCTCCAACCGCAACAGGCACCTTCTGAGAGCATACCAACCTCGAGACAAGAACACCGATCCTGGACCACTCGATCCTCCTGTGAGGCTGCCTCTCCTCCGGCCCCCCATTTAAATGTAAGTGTGTGTTTTTATCCGTTTCTATCCGTTTTTCAGTGCATTGGTCAGCACCCACGATGTAATTATCCACCCTTAAAGTTTTGCGCCCTTTTGTGAGTTTTTCAATTGCAGCCAGCACAGGTCCTCCTTCTGTTTCTCAGGGCAGCATACTATTCAGCCAGAGCCCCTTTCCGAGAGCGCTGTTTGTCCCCTTTTTTTGTGTTTTTCGGGAGCTGTACAGGCTATAGTGAATAGCCCGTACAGCAGCCCTTCAGTTCTACTGAGCCGAAGGGCTCCAGCGGCCGAAGCTAGCTAAAGGATCAGCCGTAGCTTGGCTAATCCTTTGGCTAGCTTTGTCAATAACCCTCCTAATGTTTGCCTGTTCAAATGTGTTGAAAAGGTCAACAATTTTCATGGGGTGTACTTACTTTTTCGCATGACTAGTTGCAATTAGTGGTGTAGATTTCTTACATTACTGTACCTTTTGTAGACTGGGAGATGGGAAGAGTAATAGGGCAATAGAGGAAAGAAAGTCAGGAAGGTGAGTATAACAGAAGCTGAAATCTGAAAGCAATGTATGTGGTGCAAAGCAAACTCAGAACTTAGTCTGCAACAGTTTAGTCAGTATCCAGTATGGCTCTAGGTGGGTCACAACTATTGTATAACTTTGATCCCAGAGTAGGGAGAGAATACTGGGATCAGGCAATTTTAGAGTCCACATGGAGTACCCAGGATACCCAGACATGTTACTTTGTATTGTATATTGGCCTTTAGTCTTCCCAATATCATCAAAGGCAAAGCTTGGGAAAACCTTTCCAAGACTAGGGGTTACTTACATTTTTTTAGTACCTAGGAATAACAGTTTTTGCTGCTGTTATGGCAAAGCACGGTTATGAAAATCTGTGCAAACGTGTGTTTATGATCTTGGAACAAAAAGCAATGCTGTTTGTGGGGAAAACATGGGTTTCAAGACTGTAACTTGATGGCATGTTTCAAAGATGTAATTAAAAAAACAACTTTATGTTTAACCCACATATCCCTAACATATCCCTAGTGTAGTATTGGAGAAACAATATCTCTTTCTGTGGATTAAAAAAAAAGAAAAGAAAAATGCATCTAACAGTAATACAAATGTGAGAGAATTACAAATAAGAGCTGTTTGCCACTTCTCCTTAGTGTGTGTCAGTTCTCGGTTGTGTGTAGTTCTTCATGAATGCTGCAGCATTATCAATACGTGACAGTGACTGCATTACTTTTTCAGTTTGATGCTCACTCTGCTGCAATGTAAAAGTACCATGAAAACATAGAGAAACATCCTATACTTGAAATAGAGCCATATACAGTACATGACATGACATTACATGATGCAAGAACGGTCAAAATTACGTTTGTGGTTTTAAAGAAACCAACTAATCACAGGTTGCTTTAACAGTACACATGAAGTGGCATATATAGGTGGTGTATTTTCAGAGTTACATTGATGTAGAACCATAGGAAACCACTAATTACTGTAATGGTACTGTCCCACTGTTCTAGACCGAAATATGGTTCTCTTATTTCAAACCAGTATACCACAACTTTATTCCCTGAACGACACTGCTCTTATTATAACATCTTAAATTTAAGTGGCAAAGGAGAGTGATCTTTCGGAAAATGGAATGTTTGAATACAGGAAAGAAATTCAAAATATTACATATTTCAATCACATTTTCAAACTATAGCCCTTTTGCATTACTATAGAGGTTATTTAATATTAAATATTTCCAGTTTGGCATTCCTACCTTTACTATCAGCCCTTTAGAATCCACCATCCAGATTTTCTTAACTGCATCTTCTCTGGTTGTACCTTCTTTCTCCATGGCCATAATTATTAAGTCTGCAATTCCCATAGCAGCCTTCATATGAACAAAAGGTTTTATTAACTGATAGAAAATATATTTTCAGTAGAACTACATTATTATTAATGCTATTATTATTGTTATTATTATTATTATTGTTATTATTATTAATAAGGGTAAGCATCATGTTGTTCCCTTTATGTCACTCTATTGCAGCTGGCTTCCTTTTTTATTTTTGTATTCTAATTTACAGAACATTGATTAGGGAAGTATGTCACCAGCATTTGGCTATGTAATGGTTACAGCAGTTGGATGGATCAGGAAATTCTGTTGACAATATCTTGACATCAGATGTAAAAAGCCAACAACTCATTTAACTTACTAACCATCACACAAAGCTAACCTTACAGGTGGAGTAGGCTTTTATAATCTGGTGGTCCAGATGTCATTCCTCTCTATGTCTGCATTGCAACTGTCTGTTAAAACCATCCTAGGGTTTCAATCATTTGCAAATTTAAGATGGAACAGGTTGACTTGTGAAAATCCCAGTACCCCAAATGCATATACTAAACATACACATACTATGCACTTAAGACTGTACCTTGTTTATTCTCTAAGGGATTTCTATATACAGGACTGGATTCCTATCACTGGAGCTTGAAAACACACACATGTTGGTGACCAAAGCAACACCCCTCTTCTAGGATCGCCTCTTTCACAAAACCTATTTTTTTGATTTACAGGTCCTAACTTGGCTTAGATCATTATAAAAAAGGATAAATAGGCTGATATAAAATTACTGTATTTCTTATAATGATGGAATGAAAAATGTGTAGCTGATAATAGGTAAAAAGCTGTTCCTTTGTATTGTGACCTAAAGGCACAGCCCTACTGTGCCTAACAGTAAATCCAACCCTGTCTATAAAAGTGGGTGTTTTATCTTTTCTTCTTGCTGCTCCTTTTCATTTTGGTGGAAACAATTAGGAAAATAACACCACAAAAATATAGGAGTTTCACTGTTCAATGTACAAAACACTAAGGGGTCTATTTACGAAGCAGCCGAAGGATCTAGCCGTTGCTTTGGCCGATCCTTCGGCTAGCTTTGGCCCCAAGACCCCTTCGGTTCAGCAGAATCGAAGGGCTTCTGTACGGGCTATTCACAATAACAGCTCCCGTATCTTAGCCGAGCGGCTCAGTCGAGCTGAACGCATATGCCTCGGCTCGGCTGAGCCGCGCTGAAAGCCGAAGCTGGCCGAGCGGCCGGCCATTGTCCGGCCGACAGCCTGCTTCTACAGCTAGGTGAATAGACCCCTATGACAACACAAATGTCAAGATCAGTTAAAAATTAAAGTAACTGAATTACCATGTGTATTTTGGTAGATCTTTCTTTTTAAATGACAGCAATGTAATGCAAGGGTAATTGGTGCAGTTGCCAAAAAAGTTAGCATACCTCTCCTGCTCCTTGGAAAAGTACTGTGTGACCGGATAGTTTATTCTTTGTAATACGAAGTGCTGCAAGGAGTCCGGCTACCGCAACAGCTGCAGTGCCTGAAAGCAGACAGAAAGTTATGACACAGACGAACTATTTTCTTCAGATTGGAAAGATACAATAGATAGATAAAAAAATACATTACACTTTGCTTATACTGTATATATATATTATTATTATTATTATACAGGATTTATATAG